GATAATGTTCCAAACAGAAAGTTATCTTAGATGGTTAGTATCAAATGTTTCTCTTATTTACACCCTCCTCTCTTGTAGTGGGCATCCCTGTTCCAACACACAGACTTTTGCAGTCGTGAATTGCCAGAATATGTCTGCTTGTATCTATGTTTTCCATACAATGAGCTTTTAACCTTTTTTTTCATTTTCACAACTTAGGATATCATTCCATGTTTGCAGTCTTAGGTAATACTGGAATTAACTGGCTATTTTGACTTCTCAAGCAGTTTTCATTGTGCGTCCTACCCAAGAAAGGGCAAGGGTGGGAAGTACAGGGGTGGCTACAGAGCAAAGGGGGATTCTTTGAAGTAGAGAGAGGCAGAGGAAATAATGGAATAAGGTCCTAAAATATATTGCTTAAAGAATAATGATGTGAAGATACAGATATAGTATGGATAACTAGTATTGTTTTACATACAAGAAAGGGTTAATATCTGGGATCATTTAGCAATGTTTTCAGTCCAGATAGCACTTCAATATAGCATTTAAATTGATCTACTAGCAATAAATAAATTGAACAGTGGCTTTTTTTTCAGCCTGTGAAATTGACAATGGATAAGACCTAGAATCTTCAAGTATATCACAGGATGAATAATTTAAGGGTATTAAGCATTCCTTGACACTTACAACTTTTATACTTCTATCTCTACCTTTTTTCCTTTATTGTCTATGAATGGGAAATTGAGAAAGGGAACCAGTAAATTAATAAAACAATGTTTCAATGTCAGTAGTGCTGTGAAGTTAAGATCACAGTAATCCTAGTGAACATTGTAGCTCTTGCATGTTCTGTGAGGGTAAAGCCATTGCTTCCTTTTAGGGCTAGACTATCTTGCAATTTGTTAAGCTTCTTTTGTTTGTGATTTCTTTACCTATGTCTGCCAATTTACAAATCTGGCTTGCAGTCAGATGCTTAGGTTATTGGGGAGCAAACCATCACTAAGAAACAATTACTTCTGATCCATACTACTACCATGTTGAACTCAGCTGGGAGTATACAGCAGTTCTGGAAATACATTAACTAATGCATTTCATATGTAATATCAAAATATCTGTGCAGGTGTTTGAACCCTCAAAGTGACATGAAGTTAACACTGAGTTATTGAAGCAGTAAGCTCTTAATTCATTGCTAAATACAAATAATACAAATGCCTGTTAGGAATTGGATTTAGCTGCCTGGAGAACTGAATGAATAATTCTTCCTAGGTGTGCTTGTTGTTACCAACTATTTCATCCTCTCTGAAGCAGATTAGCTTTCAGCTAGTTATATGCTGAATCACACAGCTAGATCACATGGATTTACTCAATCAGGCATCTTGTATTGGATATGATTGAACAACACTCTTGTAGTTTCTGCATACATTTACACAATGTATTTCACAATAGCCTCCATCTTGTTAGTAATACTTCATTTTTTTACCAGTCATTTACTTTGCCACATGTCTTATTGTTTGCATGCATTAGCAAGAATTATGGGATGATGTATCTTAATCTGCCATCACAGAAAAGTACTCATTATTTTCTGCAGTAACGGAGTTTGCTGCAAGAAATTGATTTTACACTTGGGGCAGATTTGGACAAAGATCTGACACTAAACTCTGTGTTACTTAGGTAGTGAGAAAAAGCAGTGCAGATTTGAGCCGAAGTAGAAATTAATCCCCTGCATTTCCAAACCTTTGTGACATTTTTAATATATAAGATATGCAGAGAAAACAAAACAGTAAGAAAAAAGTCCGTGTGAAAACAATAATCTTTACTACCCTGTTGCAGCAAATTCAAGTAATTCTGAAATGTAAACACATTGATGAGGGACTTAGGTAAAAATTGAATGCTTGTTCACCTGTACTCTACTTTTGCTCAAATAGCAGAAGAGCAAGAATTGGAAAATAAGTACAAGCAAGTAGGAGAAATGGGATACAGAAACAAAACTACTGCTGGACACAGTGCCAGAAAAGCTGTTCTCTCTGTTTTCTATGTTTTTCTGCACCAAAAAAAAAAAAAAGGAAAGAAAGAAAAAAAGTATTTTCTTCTATTGCAATATACCTTGTAATAGATAAATCAGAGACACACTAGCAGGCACTTATTCTTTAACCTAAACTGCTTACTGGAAAAATTTAGACGATGAAAGTCATAATTATTTTGTAACATTTTGCAAGTCCAAATGGTAGTAGTTTCTCCTTGCATCTGAGTCTCAGTGCCCTTTATTATTGGAGAATTTAGTTCATTTTAAATACATCAATCAGCTCTTCCCCTACAGTAATTAGACACTTTGTGATGTTGAATTGGTCCACAAATAGCACAGCTCAATGTGTGTTACAAATAAGCATCCATTTGCCCATTGTCCAGCAATGACATTTAAGAAGCCTATGTTGAAATCAGATTAGCATGATTTGATGAATAAATACAGTGTGACAGATCCCAGCTAATGCAAAGGAATACAGCTCTGCTTAAATAAATGGAATGATTCCAGCGTTATACTAGCTGAATGATATTTGTGAAGAACAGTAAACACATCTATAACTGTAGAATTGCTAATGGTGCCAGTTACAAAGCTTGTTTGCTCCAATACATTTTTTTAAAAAAAAAGCTATGCTTGTGCTTCTCTTTGTACTTCACTCTTCCTTTCTCATAGGACCTTTTGTTTTGCTTTTTTTCTTGTTGTATTTTTCAACTTTTTCCCCAGCTAGAGGAAGCAACTATAATTATTTCTCTTTGGTGTAATCCAAGCACTCAAATAACACATGCAATGCAGCAATGCAATTTTTTACTAGTTGAACGTGATTTCAGCTGTCATTCAGAAAGACACTCAGCCATCTGATCTTAGTGCCAAATCTGATGACTGGAGGTGGAAGTAGAGATTATATTTTTGGCAAACTTCCCTGTTTACAAATCCCTGCTTTGAAATCACCTTCCTTTGCTCTGTGATATTCTTACAAGAGTATGAAACAAAATAGACTTCACAATAAAGCCTTGAGATACTTTATTAATACAGGGACACAAGTAAGAAAATGGTGTTTCTCTCTATAAAGTTCTAACATTTGTTCTTTGAGTTGTCTCATTTTTTTAATATTTTTTTAATTTTTTTCCAGTCCATGTGTGTCTTTAAGCCTCTATAGGATAATGGAAGGAAAATACTAAGTTTTAACTGATCAAGGTATAATGGAACAACAGGAAATGTATGAGCCACTTAAATTAAAATGATGAAGAAATAAACATTCATTACCCCAGGCTCAATTGTCTTTTCATTTTGCAAGCAAGAAAATATTTAGCACCCTAGGAGGAAAAGAATTAACTTCTTTTGAATCTTTCCACAGTGAAGCAGTGCTCAAGAAGCAAAATGCTTTACTTCAGACTGGAGAGGTAATTTTAGATCACATACAGGGGGCAGTTAGATGAAAGATCAAAATCTACTATATACACTGAGCAGGAAT